TTTATTTTATATCAATTTTAATAATAATGTTAAATTTATAAATTAAAGTAAATAAAGTATATAACTTCAAAAATAATTTAGGGGTTCCTTGTAATTAAATTAAATAACTAAAAGTTATTAGGGAAAAAAAAAAAAGGGGAAATAAGAGAATGTTAAACGGTTAAACCCCTAGGAAACCCAGAATTTGTTGTGTCTGCCATCGCCATGGACATGGAGGTGGATCCTCCAGCGAAGCCAAGTGATCTCCAAATCAAGGACACAGACCTCTTCAAAGCCGCCGAGACCGGCGATTCTGCTACCTTCCAATCCCTCCCTCAAGACCATCTCTCCAAGTCTCTCGCCCTCCGCAACGACGATGGCCGCTCTCTCTTCCATGTAGCAGTCTCCTCTGCTCGCCCCGAGGTAACTTCATCGCTTCCTCGCTTCTTTCCCTAACGTATCCTTCTCTGGAAGACTAGTTTATCTGATCGGAAGGAACCAAAACCAGGTGGTGAAATTACTATCGGAGGTTGCTGATGAGTCGGTGGTCAACAGTGCTGATGAAGAAGGGTGGGCTCCGATTCATTCTGCGGCAAGCATTGGAAATGCGGAAATCATGGAAATTTTGCTGAGCAAAGGCGAGTATATTCCTATCCCATATCAAAAGTCCACTCCTTTTTTTTTTTTTCTTATTTTGATTGCTTGTCTATTCAGTTGCAGAAGTTTGGATGCAGCTTTAGAATTTTGATTAAAGCCTTTTCTTTCTTTGACTTGTTCAAATTCGGCACAAACTACACATTGACTTGAATGTTTTGAGCAATCGAGCATTTTATGTTATCTGGGTGCTCCTGTGTTATATAGAATGTTAATTGGGAATATGTGCTGAGTATTGTCCTAGCCTCCTAGGCAAATGCTTAATGGCGTTGTTAACTTGTTGGGTTATCTCTGTTGCTAATTGTAAAAGACAGAATCTTGTTATGGTTATCTAAAGTTTTCTGATTTGTGCGTCTGTCCAAACTTCTTACTTTTTGTGAGTAGGAGCTGATATTAATCTGAAAAATGATGGTGGTCGCACGGCTCTTCACTATGCTGCAAGCAAGGGATGGTTGAAGATTGCTGAGCTTCTGATTTCACACAGTGCAAAGATAAACGCAAAGGATAAGGCTAGTAACTTCACAAAAATGCATTCTGTTTTATAATTGCACAGTACATCATTTTTTTTAGCATTTCAGATTCAGCATTTTACTTTGCATTCAACTTTTCTTTTACACTTGATATGCAGAATTCCTGATAACTTGATATAAGCTGAGGATTAGTATAGAGGACTGAAAAGTAGAAGAATAAAAAGTTTTCAATCAGATTGAAAGCTATATGATGGGGAATTATGTAAATGTGGTTGCAGGATAGCAATTGAATCAGACAATTTTTGTCTTTTTACTCTTTCAATCTTCTCTATGATGCAGAGTGGAGTAATGTTTATGTATTTTCTCTTACATGGTTGGTCATATGACACATTGCTCAGGTGGGTTGCACTCCATTGCATCGGGCAGCTAGCACAGGGAACTCAGAATTGTGTGAACTCTTAATTGAGGAAGGAGCAGAGGTTGATGCTGTGGATAGAGCTGGTCAAACTCCTCTAATGCATGCAGTCATTTGTCAGAACAATGAGGTAATTTGGTTTCAGTCACTTGGGAAAGAGCATTTTGCAGTTTTGTTGTTATTGTTTTTCCTTTCTTTTATCTTATTCTTGCCTGACCAATCTACGTTCTTCTTCTTATGGTTCTTACATTTACTTTTGTTGATGATACAAGTAATTGAGCCTCATGCACAATTTACACTTGTGAGGTTTAAGTTGTAACCTTATGATCCTGATAACTTTTAGAAATATAGTTAAACACTTAAAGATAGAGCAAGATTCAAATGGATTGTTAGAATAGTAGAACAAAATTCAATAATAAGATTCATAAATCTTTGTTAATTTTATGTTTCATTGACAGGTAGCCCTGCTTCTAATAAGACATGGAGCAGATGTAGATATTGAGGACAAAGAAGGATACACTGTGCTTGGTCGAGCTTCAAATGATTTTAGACCAATACTCATTGATGCTGCCAAGGCAATGCTTGAAGGATGAATTTCTTGTATAGTGAAGTGCAATTAGTTCTGGAACTCTTGGTAAGTGGCTAGAGTTTGCTCATTACTCAGAAAAATTCACCCAAAATATGTAAGATCTGAGAAACTAGCGTCCAGCATCATTTTAATTTCTGCTGGTTTTGTGATAGTATACTGTAGGACTGGACGAGGTTTTTCTGTCTAGGAGCATGGTGCCCAGACTATATTGACTTGATTAACTTAGCTGTCCCCTTCTAATCTGCTGAAGTCTTGAACAACACTTTCCTATTCTTTGCTGATACCTATAGATTTTCTAAGTTTTTAACTTAATTTTGTTATGAAGAAAAAAGGGATATTCAGAAGGTATGTTATTTGCAAAACCTTTTTGAGATCAAACTAGGGATCTGTCTCTTGCTTGAAGTGCTAGATGAAGCAAGAATTAAATGGACCATGAATGTCACAGCATGTTCCTGTGAGATATTATCAGATAACGAAGGTTAACTAATTAGGGACATTAGGGTAGGTGTTGGCAAAAGTGCAACAGCTGATAACTACATGGCTACATCACATGTTCCAAATGCTTCTTTTTTTTTCTTCTTCTTCTTCCTTGAACAGGGGTAATTAGGAGGAAGGGAGTAAAGGGGACTCAATCTTTGGGCTAACAACCAATAGGAGCACTATCCAGTTGACCAAGAACTCAAGTTGCTCACGTTCATATCTCAAATGCTGGTTTGACCGCATGAATTTGAAAACGAAGTCATTGCTAAGATCTTGAGGTTGTAAGAAAGAAGACCGTCATAACTTGTTTTGATCAATAAAATTTCATCATTCATTCCCAAGCACAAGATGAGACTACTCTGGAAAGTCTCAGCTCAATAACGAAGTTCTTTAACCAATTTGAATTATATGTTGTATGATTCATCACAGCGAGGTTCACTCTTCACCTTATTGAGCAATGTTTATTTGTTTCCAGGTTGTGAAAGGTTATTTCTGATGACACTTTGAATCTAAACCTGCACCTTGCACTAGAGAAAAGAACCAAAACCCAAAAATAAACAGGCAATTGTAAATTTTTTATACAATTTTTATACGTCATTAAATAACTATAATTAAGTAAAAATAATTTATCATTAAATAACACAAAAACTTATTAAAAAAAATTATATAAAGAGTTGTTTTGAATCATTTTCCAATAATAAACCAATTTGCTGCGGCCACAAGTAAAAAATGTCATTTTTGTTTGGATTATGATACAATCTACAGCCACTCAAACGCAGGACGTAACGGCCACAAAATTACCGCCACATCTTTAAAACCCAAAATAAATATATAACAATTTTTTTTAGGAAAAAAAAAATCGGAAAATCAAAGCAAAAGGGCTAGAGATGCTTAGCAGGCCGGCAGTTTCTGTTTCAGCTTCTTCTTCTGCTGCTACTGATGCATCTCCATCTCTATTTCCACTCAACACATCTCAATTTTCCTGCCAAGCAAACAGCAAAGTTCTCAGATTCTTGGGTAACAAAAAGTTGCCATCTTTAAACTGCAGAACCATCGGATGGAGAAGAAGTAGTTCTCAGCCTAAGTCTGGTAGCATGGAGAGTTTTACAGCGAGGGCAACTGCTCAGCCGTTGAAGAATGCCAACGAGCTCATTGATTCGGTTGAGACTTTCATTTTTGACTGTGATGGTGATGATCAATACTCTTTCTCTTGTTTCTTTTTGTTTTGGGTGGTTAATTGATTGATTTAGTGCTGAATTGGTAAATCTTTTCAGCTACTTGGTGTTTGAAAGTTAGATTCAGAATGGTGATCCAAGTCAGTACTCACTAACTTTGAAACTTTAGTTTCAAGTTAAGGTTAGGGGTTTGAACTTCTATACAGCTAAAAACTTGGAGCGTTATCAAATCATAAAGAAAGCAAAACCAAAATGTTTAATTGACAAACTAGGAAGAAGGACAGAACAAGGTTGAAAATTTTCTTCTAAATTAGGGGATAAGTAAGGAATAGGTATCACCATCTTCCCTGAGAATGGCTATTCGTTGCTTATTGCATAATAATCTAAAAGAAAATGATCAACCTTATTCACTCTCCAGTCTCAACTTGTCAAATAAACTTCTAAATTTTTTCTTGTTTTTTGTTTGACCAAGGACAACTCACTACTCCAAACCAAACATGTTGTCTCTCGAAAGTTTTGTACATGTGATTATTAGTCAGTCAAACTTATGTAGTGACAATTCCAACAAGGGGAGAAAAATTCAGGGGAAATAGTAAAGTTAACTTTAGGTCGGTAGTTAGTATGACTATCAGGGAAAATAGTTGGCTTCGTACAGAGAGATTAAGCAAAGCACAACTTTAAATGGTTCTTTTCACTGCTTCTATGCTCTCCCCCACTCTCTTTACCTTACAGAATACCTAAACATCTTCCATCTGGTTTAGTTGAAAGTTGAAACACACCATTATGTCTTGATTGAAATGACATGAGATTTTAGTAGTTTACTGGCTAAAGCCAGGCTGCAGAAAGAGCAATAGGGCAAACTTAACTATGGCATTTAAAGAAGTTGTGCTTTTTGTGAAAAGTTAGCTCCTTGTTACATTGGATTTGTTATTTGTTTTATGTTGCAAAAAAAAACAATAAGTTGCAATGGTATATTAATGCAGTTTCTCTTCTTTTTCTTTTTCCTAAAAAAAAAGTAAGGGTGTGGTCTAGCTAAAAGATATTTCTCTTTCATTAATCAATCTCGCAGGTGTTATCTGGAAGGGAGACAAATTGATAGATGGAGTCCCTGAAACTCTTGATATGCTTCGGTCAAGGGTCTGTATTTGAGTATGATTTACATGCAAAATCTCACTTAGATATGAACAAGTTATATTGTTTAGCTTTGATCTTAGTTTTTCTGGGTTTTCTTTTCTTTAAGGTTTAAAAGTTGCAGCACAACTTAAATATTTATACATTAGAAAGGTTGCAACTTTTGAGAAACTTTTATGAATGAAATGCCTTATATTACCTTTGGTAGACAATTATTGATCCTCCTATTTTTTCAGGGAAAAAGATTGGTTTTTGTGACAAACAACTCAACAAAATCTAGGAAACAATATGGTAAAAAGTTTGAGACACTTGGTTTGAATGTCAGTGAGGTTGGTCCGTGGATCTTTTCTCATACTTACTTCTCTTTACCTATCTTGATTTTTGACTTAACTGAATTATTTCAGGAGGAAATATTTGCATCATCATTTGCTGCAGCTGCATATTTAAAGTCCATTAACTTCCCAAAAGATAAAAAAGTAAGTATTATCAAATCCTTTGTAAAACTGAAAATTCTGCTATTGGAAATGAATTTTTCTACCTGTCTTCTGAGTTAGTGGCATATCTATAATTCAATCTGTTCTTCATATCGACAAATCCTTCAATATTTAGTCAAGGTTTTTAAATACGTTATTTTGCCTTTCATCCTTTTTCTTTAATTCTTTTTGTCTAAGATACATACATGGCTAAGAGTGGGTTAAGATTACAAGTGAAATTCTCCAGTTTAAGTTTTTATGTCCAATGATGAATAGTGGATTTTAAGTTCAAACAAACAAACTTATGGGCTATGGTGATTGGTGCCCATCCATCTATCACCAAAGAATTAGGAGTCCAGATAGAATGTTTTGTCACTGCATTTGATGGATTACTTACTATATTGTTCTCTTCCTGTGCATTACTTGTTCCTGCACTAAGGTGATATCATTAATAAGTAAATCCTATTTTCATTTTCTTGAAATTGGCTTGTTGATAGATTTTTTGAAACTGTGTCATGTGTATGTTACAGGGCATTATATGCCTATTAATCATTGTTCTTGCATTTCTATACCATCTTCAATTGAATTACTAATGAATTTGTTATTAATTATGATAGTAATTGCATATGAATCATAAGAGACTAATAGCTGGGTGGAATGTAGGTGTATGTGATTGGTGAGGATGGCATCTTGAAGGAGCTTGAGCTTGCTGGATTCCAATACCTTGGTGGGCCAGTATGTATGAGTTTCATTTTCATATTTCATTAAGTATGGTTTGGATCCTGAAAACAACAGCTATTAAATATAAATATGATTACTCTCCCACCAGCCATTGGATGTTAATTTTTGCAATATTTTAAGGATTCAAACTTAGTTACTGATATAGATTAGATCATATCTTGGCTCATCAGCACAGACGTTTAAAGTTTGTGTGGTGTTAAGAGTCTTTTAACCTAGTAATCCAAAGTTCTAGTATTGCATCTTCATGTTTATGCAATTAAAACATAAGGACAAGGCAAGTGCCAAGTCTTGAGTTTGTGCTTCAAGCTCTCAAGCTCGGTAAGTGTACACCTGATGGGGCACAATAGGAGAGGAGAGGAAATCATATTGTCTGCCATTCATAATCATCTTAACCTTTAGCTTTAATTAGAAGGGTTCTTCAAATGGTCATCTTTTCTCTAAACCTTAGAATACTGCCTGACAGAAGGCATGGTTTACAATGTATCTCTGACAGTTTTAAGTGATTATTCATACTGAGAGGAGAAGAAAAGGGGGAAAATCTTTATAACAAATGTTAATTCCTTGTTTCCCATCTTCCTAAAGAAACCAGCAACAGTCAGCACTGCATGTAATGGAGATGGGATAAAGATCCATATAGATGACTTCATACTTAGGTTATCTGTGTGCAAAGTTGCATACTTAAACTGAGTTTTGATGGAGATAAATTGCAGAAGAATCCTTGAGCTGATACTTTTTTGCTTGAAGGTCTTAGGTCTTAATTTTTGCTCACACAGGCTTTAGGAGAAATAGGGCGGGGTGGTGAATTTTGCACTTTGAACCATATGGAGCATTAGAACTTAACAATTATGTGAAATTTTTTATCACAAGTTTTTCTTCAATCAATTATATCACTTTCTATGGAGATTTCATTGTTATATATGTACTTTTACATGATTATTCTGTTGTTTGTGATCTTATTTTATTAATTGTCTACAGGAGGATGGTGGAAAGAAGATAGAACTGAAGCCAGGGTTTCTAATGGAGCACGATAAAGATGTAAAAACTCTCCTTCTCTCTTCTTATCAATGAATCTTTTGCTTGGTTTCCCCTTTGAGCTTTTACAGTTACAAAATGGGAGTAAATTGTGTCGATGGCTCTTTGTCCTTCCTGTATACAGTATATTGCCTGTGTACACAAAAGAATATGTTGCATGTTTCTTTCCAGTGTTACATAGTATTGTAAACAATTTTTCATTATTCATATTTAGGTTGGAGCTGTTGTGGTTGGATTTGATCGCTATTTCAACTACTACAAAGTCCAGTAAGTTCCCCACCTCGAGTCAAATATTTGTATGTAAATGCTCTCAGATCCACTAACATGCGCTCTATCAGCCCAACATGTACCCATTTAGCACACGAACTTTCTCCAAAGTCTCAGCCTATCCTATCCACCTACTTGGACAAGAGATTGGCTGCTGGCTATCTTTAACGTGTGATTTAGTATGGTTTAACAATATTTACCCACATTTTAAATCTGAACCCCTTTTCTTGGAACAATATGCATAAATCCACTTGGTCTTTATATTAAATGTATCACTAATTTTTGCTTTTCATGTAATGGAAGGTATGGAACACTTTGTATCCGTGAAAACCCAGGGTGTCTTTTTATTGCCACAAATCGTGATGCTGTCACCCATCTGACAGATGCTCAAGAATGGGCAGGTTCTCTTCTCAACTTTCCTTTCATTTTTCATGTCATCCTCTTCCTCTCAAATCGCTGCTTTTTAACTGATTTCTTTTCAAGGACAGTTATATCAGTCAATTATTTTCTCAGTGTTATGGGAAGAATGTCAAAATTAGGCAATCTCTAAAATGCTTGTGCTTGGGGAAAATGGAATCTGGAGAGTATGCCGACTTTCTAATATGGCATTGTTGCAAACTTACAGAGACTAATTCTCAATTGATTTATTGTATTTGTTCATTCATTCTCTTAATTCCTGAATTCATTATTGACTATGCCATGTTCTTGATCTCAGGTGGTGGTTCCATGGTTGGTGCCCTCTGTGGATCCACTCAACGTGAGCCACAAGTTGTAGGAAAGCCATCAACTTTTATGATGGACTACCTTGCAAACAAGTATGGTTCCAAATTCTTTTTATTTTATTTTCATACTCTTATACATGTTAAATAGATGCTTCAACAGTTATCACTACATTTAATAGCAATGTTTGATACCGTTATCTGATATTATTGTTAATGTGAGATGATCAACGACAGATTTGGCATTCTCAAGTCCCAAATATGCATGGTTGGAGACAGGTTGGACACTGACATTCTTTTTGGACAAAATGGCGGTTGCAAAACTCTTCTTGCTCTATCAGGTAACCTATTTTCAGCACCACTTTTCATCTTCTTTAACCTTCATTTGATGGTGGTACATATCGAATGATGAGGGTTCTTCTTCTATAGGGGTGACCTCATTGTCAATGCTTCAAAACCCCAACAACTCCATACAGCCTGATTTCTACACCAACAAGATCTCGGATTTTCTCACTCTCAAAGCTGCAGCCGTATGATTGTAATTAGCAGACTTTGCACCATCATGTTTAAGGTTACCCTGTCAGCATTATTCTGTCAAACACAAACTTCTTGATAGGGATTTCCATGTAATTTTCTAAGGATTTGATACATTGCTACAATACACTATAGTTCAACAAGTTCATTCTTCATGTGATGGGGGCGTGATAACACTCCATTCCGTAAGTGGGAATACTGCTGTGGCTTACTGTTTTCGACCCCCAACTCCCCCTCCTCCCTATTAAAAATATGTAGTAGTTATAATGGGTTATTGCCCTTGTTCGAAAAAAAAAAAAAAAGTTCAATTATTTTATTTCCTTTTTTATTGATGGAATAAAGATTTAGAATTAACTTTCTCTATTTGGTTATCTATAAGTCACTCAAATGTATGTATGCAGCACGTATAGGTTGTGTGGTTAGGGAAGCTTCCAAAGGAAATACCAGAAATGGCACCACACCTAAAATTGACTGTCAAGCCTCAATATTTGGTTTTGGTGTTTTCCTGGAGGAAGCTCCTTCCCTCAGAAACTATTTACCCAAGAATAGTAAAGAAGAAAATGACAATGAAAGTAATAATTGTTATAAACGAAATGAGCTCAGAAACATCAACAAACTGGAAAGAACATGATCAGTTCATCTATGCGCGTCTCCTCACGACTGGTCACGGATGTTTCCAACCAAAGAATAGACTGTCTTATGCCTGTTTACTGTATTTGATACCAAATCGATCGTAAATCTCAGTTATCAACTTTACATCTGTGACTATTATTCCTTGAGGTTGTGTTTAGGAAGATCTCTCTCTTGTGCTTTGATCAAGGAAAAAGAATCCTAATTAGTTTTCTTGATTACTAGACGACACAGTGTTTCAGCTATGATATAATATCCAGAGCCAAAATGTATGAAAAATCAAACATGAAAATCTGCATTATCTTTTGTCCTCACTTAGCCTTGTAGCTAAGCAGAATGAATGCCAAATGCGTTGTCACAAGTTCCTTGACTAAAACAATATTCAACATGAACATCTTTCAGATAACATGAAACTATTATTCATTCACATATTCAAAAGCTGGAGAGAATGGAGAGGAGAAGGAAGAGAAAATCAAAGCCAAACCAGGAGATTCAGCTAAAAATAAAAAAAATCAGATTACAAGCTTGGCATCAATATCTCACATGGATCATCTTACATTTTCCTCTTTTTGCTCGAAGAAAAATCCCATTCACTGTTTGCTCCTCGCAGTCTCAGATTAAGCTTCTTCAAATTCTTCCAAATGGACATTAGAAAAAGGAAACTGTAGGACTTTCCAATCTCCAGGAAAGGACTTTAAATTTCTCTTGCCATTAGAATTCTGCAGGGAAGAGCCTTTATATCATTAAGCATGTCATAATGTGTCATCTTTTCCTTGCATTTCAGTTAACATTTCTGATGTCCTCAACAAAATTACCCAAAGAAAACACTAAAACCTGCATTTCCTTTTATTTTCATCTGGATATCTTCGAAAGTTCAGCAGTGGTAGCTAAAACAGAATGAAGAGCAAAATTAGATTAGCTTACTTCAAGCTTCCAACAACATGACAACAATAAATAAGAAATGATAGATCATTAAAGGGAGGCAGGATCAAATGGTTATGATAAAGATGGAGTTTTTTTGTTAAGAAATACCCTAAGAATCACTGAATAAATAAGATTAATTAGAAAAGGGAAGCTCAAAGATATAGTATCTGTGAGTTTAAGAACAGCGAGGACATCCTACCGAATGATCATTTGTCACAACACAGGGGACACGTGCAATTAGGGGCCAATAGTCTCCTTTCTCCTCCAAGCACCTTCGCTGCAGCAACGGCCAGTTCATAATCAAGAGTGCTCCAAGTGAGGGAGGCAGGCCATCCTTTGGTTAAGGACAGGAGATTGGCGCATTCCACTATTGTAACTTTTGAAGAGGAGGAGGCAGGCTTTCCTTTGGCAATGACATGAGCTTTGGCCAATGCTCAAGAAATAAATTTTGAAGGGAGTTCATATTTCTGAGGAGAGAGCTCTAGATATGGATTTCAAATTTTCAACATTTTTTACAACGAGAGTGGCTATAGAATTGGAAAATATATTATCCGGAGGACATATCCAATGAATCTCACAGTATAGGGGCAAAGTGAGTTCGCTGAGACCCCATTCTTGCACTGGCTGCTTCAGATTCTTACAATCAATTGTAAGCCATGTAAGGTTTGGGGGCAAACCACCGTCTGGAATGGCCTTAATCCCTGGACTATTGCTTGTAATCAATTCATCAAGTAATGTGAGGTCGTGCATCCTATTAGGTAAGTACTTGAGATTGATGCAATTTTCTATCCATAGCTTTCTGAGGTTGGGGATGGATATGGACATGCCTCTTTCTGGGAAAGATTCCAAACCTTCGCAGCTTTCTATCCATAGAAATGTAAGCCCGTGCATGTACTGAAGAAAGGGTAAGCTCTTCAAATTCATACCACCACCAACACTCATGCCTTTAAGTTCTCTACAATACTACAGCATCCTGTCAGCAATAGACTCCAGTTTGGTGCAGTCACTGATAGAAAGACACTTAAGAGCAGTTGGCAGGTGGCCATTTGGGAAAGAATTCAGAGAAAGACACCCACTAATATGCAAATCTTCAAGTTGCACCATCATCATTACCTCATCAGGCAGGGATTCGAGTTCTGTACAGTTATATATCTCCAAAGTTTGAATACTGTCAGGTAGAAGACCTTGTTCTTTCCTTGTTAAGGATACAAGCAGAGGGCAGTTACTGATTGCCATCCTCTTAAGACATAAAAGGTCTCGGATGGCTCCTTCTTCCCATAAACAAGTAACTTCATTGCATTCTTCAATCTCCATATCCTCGAGTAATGTTATGGACTCTACAAAACTCTTAGGCAAGCAAGTCAAGAAGGAAATTTTGCTGATTCTCGGGGTTTTGAGTGGGGGAAGATCAACCATACTCCTCAAGACTACCTCACTACATGCTTCTATATACAATTCTTCAAGCAATGGAAGGCTCATTGGCGAATATATGAACTTTGGGCATCTGACAATCTTAAGCCTTTTAAGAGAAAGAAGGCATTTTGGTAACTTTCCTACCAGCATAGGGCAGTGCTGCAATTCCATACTTTCCAGCGATTGAAAAGCCTCAACTGAAGAAAAAGAGTCCCCACCACACTCAAATGTCATATTTTCTATTGCATGCATATCTGCAGGAGAGAAAAAAACCCAGCAAATCAATTGAAAAAATATTAAAAGTAAGCCACATCAACAAAAGATATCATAGTGTTACATGCACACCTGTGATGATCAATTCTTTAAGCTGGGGTAATCGCCCAAGTGATAGTAATGAAGTGCTTCTTTGACAATTGTGAAGCTCCAAGAACTTTAAATTGAAAAATGATGGATCACCTATCCAAGACGGGAGTGCCAAACCACCAAAGCATTAGATTTTCAATCTTTGCAAGCCTTGATGAGGTTTTAACCAGCTAAGAACTTGCATTTGATTGCTTTCGTTCTGAGGGTTTAGGTGAGCAGAAGACCATTCTAAGGCTAAATCATCCAATCCCTTGATCTCATACAAATTGGCCTCTCTTGCATCCCTAGCATCCAAAACGTAATGTAAATTTACAATGGAGAGCTGGCCTCGAAGGCGTAACAATTTCTTCAAATCTTTTACCCTTGGTCCTCTACCATTTCCAATAATAAATTTTGGTAGTGTCACAAGATTGGTCAAATTATTGATTTCTGATGGCATCTCTTTTAAAGATGGTGTCTCAGTGATATCAAAATGCTGGAGATCATGTAGATTCCCCATAGTTCTAGGCAACTTGGTTAAATTGCACAATCCCTCAATAACAAGGTTTGTAAGTAAACCAAAAACCCAATAGAATCAGGCAGACTTTCAATCAGTGTACTAGACAAATTAATATATCGCAGATGCTGCAAGTCTCCAATCGAATCTGGAAGCTTCTTTACCTGATATTTGTCAAGAGATAACACCCTTAAACGTTTTAGATTTTGCAACAGATCTTGAAACAGTGGATTCGATAAGTGGTAGTCCGAGTAGTAGTCATCCTCTGTCTTCAACCGCAGGAATGTCAGCAAATTGTTTGGTTCCTTTAAGATTTCAAATCTGTTTGACACTTCATACACACAAGGAAAGAATGACAAATGGCGGGCCTTTTTAAAGCTCACATCTAATTTTTTCCCATCTGATTCAATGGTGCAGCATATTTCTCCAGTGACTTGCAAAGCTAGAGCTCTCATAAGGTCATGCACCACAAACAACGACTCATCCCTACTTGACTGTTGAAAGACCCTTGATACTAGATCACGGAAGTATTGATGACCAAGATCTTTCATTTGCGTCATTCCATGTGGTTCTTGTTGAAAAAGTCCCTCCGCCATCCATAACAAAACCAACTCACCCTCTTCAAATTCATAATCTTTTGGAAATAGAGCACAATAGCCGAAGAATCTCTTCAGAAATGAGGGAAGGTGATTGTAGCTCAATCTCAGAGCAGGAAGAATACCCCTGTTGTCTTCTGGTAGATCCCATATCTCACTGTTTAATAGGTTTTCCCACTGACCATGATGAAGCTTACCACGTAAGAGGCCACTAAGTGTTTTCAGAGCCAATGGCAATCTTTTGCACTTTTCAACAGTTTTCTTGCCGACTGCTTTGAGATTCGGACGTGTATCAAAGTTTTCTGCTCCCAATGCATGTCAAGCAAACAATGATGAACATGCATCATCCTTTAGCAATGCTGAATGGTAAACTCCATCATTTCCTCTTATCATCCTCCTGATATCCTCATTTCGAGTTGTTACAATTATTTTACTTCCAGGAACTCGTGATAGGAAAGGCCTTTGCAAGTTTTCCCACAAATCATAGTTTTCATTCCAAATGTCATCCAATACGAGTAAAAACTTTTGGTTAGATTACTTCTCTTTCTGCCTCTCTTGAAGAGAAGTTCTTTTAAGTCACACCTCAGTCCAGGTACTTGCTCTAAGATATTACAAGATGAACATCAAACTCAGTAGGAACACAAATCCACGCTTTCAATCCAAAGCCAGCCTTCACTTGTTCATCATTGTAAACTAGCTGAGCAAGAGTTGTCTTCCCTATTCCTCCCATTCCGATAATGGGAATGACAAATTCTCCTTCATTGTTACTTTCATCTTCCAGCAACATACGAAGAATACCTTTTTTATCACTTTCCCGACCATAGACATGGTTTGGAGGCAAAGAAGAAGTGGACAATCTTTCAGCAGATGCTTCATGAGACTTATTCCGGTTCTCATACTCGAATGAATCAGACCCAACGTGCTTGTCCTTGCTACAATATGCTGCAATCTATCAGCAATTTTCTTCACCCTAGGAGCCATCTCTCGTTCTTGACCATGCATAAATGTTGAAACTTTATTAAACAAGAATGGAATGAGTTTCCAGCTGGTGCTGGCTTGTGTTTTTGCAATCTCGGACCTCTTGGCATTAATCTCGACCTCTTCAAGTATATCCTCCATATCATAAGCCAAATACCTGAGATCAGCAAGCCATAACCTCACCAAGCGGTCTGTCACTTGCTTCTCTTCGGCATGTTCAAGCAAAGCATCGATTTCCGGCAAAAGATTCTTCCAGTTTTGCAGCTCGGCACAAACTTGCTCTGGTAAATTCAGCCATTCAATTACAGAAGAATTCAACTTTGAGAGCAGCAACTTAAATATTTTTGACAAAAGAGCACCTTCAGCAGTGGTTGCAAATTCCATAACTGAATTTAGATGGAACAAGAATTCTG